TAGCCTACTGAAACTATTCCGTAACACTGAGAAAAAGGAAAATCTCCCTAACTCATTCTACGAAGCCAGTATCACCCTGATATCAAAGCCAGGAAAGGACACAACAAAAAAAGAAAACTATGGACCAATATCCTTCATAAATACAGATGCAAAAATCCTCAAAAAAAATATTAGCATACTGAACCCAACAGCACATCAAAAAGATAATTCACCATGGTCAAGTGAGCTCATCCCAGGGATGCGAAGATGGTTCAACACGAATGTGATTTACCACATAAACAGAATTAAGAACAAAAACCATATGATCATCTCAAATAGATGCAGAAAAAGCATTTGATAAAATCCAGCACCCCTTTGGGAAAAAGTCCTGAACAAGTTAGGCATAGAAGGAACATAACTTAAAATAATAAAATACATATGCAACAAACCCACAGCCAAAATCACAATGACTGGGGAAAAGTTGAAAACATTCCCCTAAGAACTGGAAAAAGACAAGGATGTGTCACCACTTCTGTTCAACATAGTATTGGAAGTCCTAGGCAGAGCAATCTGGCAAGAGAAAGAAATAAAGGGCATTCGAATCAGGAAAGAGTATGTCAAACTATTCCTGTTTGCTAACAATATGATCTTATATCTAGAAAACCCTAAACACTCCATGAAAAGACTCCTAGAATTGATAAATAAATTCAGGAAAGTCTCAGGTTACAAAATTCATGTTCACAGATCAGTAGCATTTCTATACACTAATAACAGTCAAGCTAAGAGTTAAGTCAAGAACTCAATAGCATTTACAATAGCAGCAAAGAATATATAATACCAAGGGATATACTTCACCAAAGAAGGGAAAGATCTCTACAAGGAGAACTACAAAACACTGATGAAAGAAATCATAGATGACACAAAGGGGAAAAACATTCCACGCTCATGGATTAGAAGAATCAACATTGTTAAAATGTGCATAATGCCCAAAGTGATTTACAGATTCAATGCAATTTACATCAAAATAACAATGTCACTTTTCATAGACCTAGAAAAAACAATCCTAAAATACATATGGAACCAAAAAAAGAGCCTGAATATCCAAAGCAATCTTAAGCAAAAAGAACAAATCGGAAAACATCATATTACCTGACTTCAAATTATACTACAAGGCTGTAGTAACCAAAATAGCATGGTACTGGTATAAAGGTAGACATATAGACCAATGCAACACAATAGAAACCCAGAAATAAAGCTATTTAGCTATAAGCAACTGATTTCAATAAAGCACACACTGGAAAAAGGATGCCTTATTCAATAAATGGTGCTGGGCAAATTGGATAGCCACATGCAAAAGAATGAAACTGGATCCCTATCTCTCACCACATACGAAAATTAACTCAAGATGGAGTAAAGACTTACATGTAAAACCTGAAACCATAAAAATTCTAGAAGAAAACCTAGGGGGTACTAGAAACGTATTATTTCTTTCCCCTCATTGTTGGTTACATAGATGTTTGCTTTGTAATTATTCTTTAAATTGTATGTAAATGTTTCATACACTCTTCTCTATGTTTGATATTTCACAATTTTTAAAATGATAATAAATTGCCTGATCTTGTAGGATTTTTCTTTCATTGGAAACTTTTTAATATTCTGGTCCTTGTGGCAAAGGGTCTTGACAGAGTATATCCCTTTTTTGATTCAGGTCTCTTTGACTGGATAAAGAATATGATATAATCAATTCCACAGCCCTTACATTACAATTTCCAGGAAATATTTCACAGGTAGGTAATGAAGAGGAAGGGACAGAACGTGATCCACTAAAGGCTTAGGTTTGGGGGCAGGCTCAGTGTGTGACACGTGGTAGGCACTCAGTGGGAGTTTGCTGCTGACAAAATAGGCTTTGGTTGTGCTGCTGCCAGGGCTGACTCAGACAGGGAGCATTTCTCCACCTTTTGTCTTAGGAAGAATTATTTACTATAGGCCACCTGGTAGATAAGACACAGGATGTTGTGAAACTTCGGGGTTCCAAGATGTTTTCCAGCCAGAGACATTTAAATATTTGATTAATTCTATTTTTGAATTCTTTCCTCAGGTCTTGCTTCTTTAGTCAGTTCATAGGGCATTGATTTCTGGCCATGGCTTTGGATGAAGCGAGGAGACCATGCTTAATCTTATGCCTTGTAAATTGCATCATCTTGCTAGGACTCAATACCGTGTAGAATAATCTCTTATAACGATACAGTTATTTTTCAGCAAATGTTAATACCAGATGCTGTGTCTGAATCTCTTTTAAAGTTAAGGTTTCAGGACAGCATGAAGCTGAAGGTGATGATGAAGAATCATTTGGCAAATCAGCAATAAAATACACACTCAGTGTAGAAATGCTTTTTGAACCCACAATGTGACTTGTTTGTGGCCAGGCTCAGGGGAGTGATGGGTCGTGCCAAACAGCAGTGAACTTGTTCCCATCATGAAATAACCGCACTGTGCCTCAGTCTCACTGTGTTTATTCAAAGTGGTCTTAGCTACTAGCAGTTGCCAAGTTTCAAGACTAAATGTAAAATATTAGGGGTCAGTCGGGACATCTGCATCTCTTTTGTTCACCAAGGCACATGGGCTAAGAAGGGAAAATTTTGACCCAGTAATAAAAACTGCCACGTGGCCAAGTTGAACCACATGACCTAGGGAAGATCAGCATCCTAGCTTCAGTTTTGCCTTTATTGACTATATGACCTTGGACTAGTAATGTAACCTCTCCAACTTTCGATTCCTCATTTGGAAATGTGAGCGATATGTTTCATGGGTATCCTGCAAACTTGTGAAAATGAAGTGAGGTGAAAGATGCAAAATTGCTTGTTAACTATAAAGCTCTACATCAATGCAAAGACACTTTATAATCTTTTCTACTCACACAGTTAATTTTTATTATTCTTTACCCAAAAAAATCCAAAGATCAAAAGTGCATGAGGTTTAAAAAAAATACTCTTCACCAATCTTAGTCTCCAGAAAGAACCATAATTATCTTTACACACTTTGTGAATGTGTGTGTGTGTGTTTTAACAAAAAAGGGGTCATATCCTAACAACCAGAATACTATGCAGTAATTTATTTAGTAAGGTAAATTGTTATATACTGACATGGAACAATGATATTTTATATGGAAAAGTTACAGAACAATATTTATATTATGATAATATTTGTACAGAGTACATGGCTACCTCTGGGGAAAAATATTGCAAAGAAATGAGGTAATTGTACTTTTCACTTCACATTATTCTCTACTATTATATTTTACACACATATTTTCACAATAATTATTAAAAACTATGCTAGAAAAAGTTAAGTATAAATCAACAAAATGGAGAAAATATGATGCTATTGAAGATGCAAGTATAAATAGTAGACCAAAAAAAAAGTTTTGAAAGGGAAGAATATACAAAAAGAAACAGGAAATTGAAATAAAAGAAACAAAAATGAAAGTAGACATGTTATGATTTTCAATTTTAGAGAATGGAAAAAAACTGCCACCAACTTTCTTGTTATGTTGGACTCTCAACAGAATAGTCAGCCCTGCTGACTAGCTCTTTATAACGGCCTTATGCCCAAAAAAAGCAAATAGAAGCTGGGCACAAGAGTCTGCCAAGAGAGGAAGAAGAACTAAGTTGAACACTGCTCAATTGTTTTAAAGTTTTTGCATATTATTTTTTAAAATGCAGAAAACAGTCATAAATTTGGAGGCTGGGCAGGAATGGAAGACAAGCATCCTTGAAAAGTCCTGGCATTTTCAAGCAACAAAATTTTATCTGTAGATATGATTGCTGTCACTAAATCCTTGCATCCTTTCCATCAACAAATCCTGTCATGTCTATGTACAAAATTTTATCTTGAATCTCTGTATTTTTCCCACTTTGGTCACCATGAAATCAGTTCAAGTTCACTCCCACCTATTTCCACTGTGGTGGCCTCCTGGCTAGTCTCTCCATTTCCACTCTGTGTCTCCCTCTTCCCCCTGCATGCCTTTTTTCCTCAAGAAAAGCAGATCAATCTTATTAAAATGCTCATAGGGTGAAAACCCAAATCCTTCCATGGTTTCAAGGCACTGCACAAGCTGCCCCTTGTTCATTCTTCCAGTCGCCTTTAAGGCTTCTAATCCTAAAATCTTTCTCACCTGTCTTTGCACAGACTACTTCTGCCTGAAGTGCACAGCTCCTTATTCTATAGATTTGTCTGTCACAGGCTTCCCCAAACCCCTCCACTCCTAATCTAAATCAGGTCACAATTTACGTATGTATTTTTATGGTATGGGTTTTATCTGACTTTCCAAACTCTGTTTAGGCTACATAATGACTACTTGGGGGTAGGGGGATCATAATATCATTCTTTCTCCTTTGGTGTATATTTTAAATTTACCATAACAAATAGCTTTAAAAGTTTTCCTCTGATCCTACAAACTAAAAACAAGTTATTGCCTGCAATTCTCCTAAACTACCTGTTCAAATTTCATATTTAAGAACACTCATTTTTGTTTTCATGACTAATTTTTTATTGTAACCATATTAGAGCCATAAAATTCTCTAATTTTTGAATGACCATAGCAGGCTGGGCTGGAAGTCCAATGAGCTATCCATTGCACCACAGAGCCAGCTAGAATGCCATAATGTTTAACTTCCCAACAAGGTGTTGTTGGTAAGAAAGTGAACTTGAAATTAACATCAGATAACCTAACAGAAAGGTCTGAAGTTCAATTGCTTTTCACTGTTTTTGTTATTAAAATCTTTTATTGGAAAACAGCATTATAAAAGACTAAAATCTTTATTCGAAAAGGACCCTAGAATAGGAATATAAGACTTCTAATCTGGCTCCAGTTTCTCACTTTGAGTGAATCATTTTCCCTTGTTTTTTTGTTTTGTTTGTTTTAAACAATTAATATAATAAAGAGGTTAAGCTCTATATTTTATTTTCAGATCGAAAAATCCACAATTTGGAAGGAAAAAAACAGTCATAAACATTACCAGTGTTTAGTTTTTTTAAAAAAAATGAAGCAATAATTCAAAACAACTTTTTTTTCTATTCATTCACAAGGTCATAACTGAAAAGCGTTAGCTATACCAGATGAATCTACAAATCCAAGAGCAGGAATCATTGCAACTCCTTCAGAAGATTTGATACTGCCACTGTCCTCTTTTCTGTTAACAAATTGGTGCAACAAGCTGTAGTATGGGTCGTTTGGGTTAAAAGTATATAGTGATGAAATTTGCTGCCACTCTTTAATGCTTGGGGTGTTCAATTGTCTTGGATGCGAGCGCTCAAAGAAACATTTAACATTCTCTTTTGACAATTCAGTCGCATGCTCTGTGGCTTGGCCTTTAAGGATCTTCTGCTCCTCTTCCAAATAGATTTTCCAAAATTTAAGCTGCAGAAAACTAACTGGAGATAGGCATCGGAAGACAGACATAAAAATCAGAAGAAAGATGATAACAGCTGCTATCAGGACCCAGCCTGCCACCTTAAGAAAGCACAACAAAATAATAATTTAGTCACTTTTTTATAAGACATTTAAAAATCCCCAGATAAAGTTTGAACTACTCACCAGTTATGATGATGAACAAACAACACTTTTAGGTCTTAATCCCTTAACAATAAGGAGTGGCAGTCACCCCCCTAATCCCCCAGTACAGCTGCTTGCTTGGAAAGTCAATCATAGTCCAAGTCCTGTCAAGGGCTTGAGGAGGATCCCATTTGTCACTCCCTTAGAACCCAGAACGTGGAATTTCTGCAAATCCAGTGAAAAGAACGTTCTTTTTAAAGAACCTCCCAGCTTTGCAAGCTCACAAACAATGTGGGGTGGTGGCTTTAGAGCCCAGCAGACCCATTTTATTGTATATACCCATTTAATGATAACAATTCTTCTGCTTTCTTCTGGCTGGACAAAGAACTTTACCTAGACTTAATGTATTCCTTATACAGTGGAGATACGATACTAATAACCCAACGGGGCTCTTGTCAGACGTAAGAGAATATTGTGGGAGGTAGAGAGCCCAGCGCAGTGTCCCGCGAAAAGTAGCTGTGCCCACTCTCACTCTCCACGATTCACTTACAGGGCCATAAACTTACAGGAATGCTTTTCTCCTTTTCATTCGTTTTACCGAAATATTCGCTTGTCGGCTCATTAGAAACAAGGAGCCATTCCAGATTTTCTTAGGGTGTCATGTGTCTGGAGAGAAGTCATCGATTCCTCCCTCACCCCAGTGGCTCCGCGGAGACTCGCCCCCTCTGTCCCTCCCAACCGCATCCAGCGCTAGCGCCTGACCTGTGACTGCGCCCTGAGCTGCAGCAGGAGGTCCTGCACTTCGGCCGGCTCGGCCTTGCGGCAGGGCACCAGCGGCAGCTGGGCGGCGCAGCCCGAGTCCGGGCTGGGGCACAGGTGCAGCGCCATGGCCGTGCTCCCGCTGGCCGCGCACTCGTAGAAGGAGCCCCCGAGCAGCGCCACAGCCACCCATGTGAGGGGCGCGAGCAGGGCGCTCCCGGTCAGCTCCACGCACACCCAGACGCCGCGCAGCCCCGAGCAGCACCTCGAGTGGGCCCTCGGCGCGCGGCAGCAGCAGCCGGTCAGCAGGCGCCACGTGCGCGCGCTCAGCACGTAGCCCAGGAGGAAGAGCACGAGCGCCGGCACCAGCAGGAAGACCAGGCCGTAGGGCAGGTTCCAGGTGGCGGTGCAGGGGCACTGGAACACCACGGCGGAGAAGACGCGCTCGCCGCCCGCCGTCAGCAGGGTCACCAGGCCGTAGCCCAGCGCGCTGTGGTGCTTGAGCTGCCAGTCCAGCACTGCCTGAAACTTCTCCATTGGCTTCATCCCACAGGGGCCCTTGCGCAGGCCCAGGTGCTTCTGCCCCTTCGCTCGCCTGCTTGTGAAATGGTTGGGTGGACTGAGCTCTGGGGCTTTACGCTCGGCTAAGAAGCAGCTTTTTCAGGACTTCCTGAAGTTTCACTTCTCATTTCACCCATATCAGTTGTGGTGGACAAAAAAACCCAGGCAAACAAACACTCCCAGTACGCCTGACCTCCCTGGTACCCACTCCATTCCAAAGGGCAGAGGCTCCTTTCTCCCTCAGTTCGGGAACTCTGCCAGGAGACAGTCGCCGTTCTGTTGTTACCACTGTTTCTGCCAATCTGACGAAGAACCAGAAGACATTCCTGACCCAATGTGGCCACTTGTGCAAACTGGGAAAAACCATATTTTCCTCTATTGCAGCCACCCTAGTTACTAAGCCAACTCCCAGTAAGAACAAATAATTACCAGAAAAACTGATCACTTACAGTAAATATTATTCAAAGACAAATTTCTGGTTTCTCTTTCATAAGTTACGTCACAACAAAGCTCAGCTCAAAGTCTAGTGCTTCTATGACGCCCTGTACCCTTCCCTGTCTCCCTCCTAGATGGAACCACCAGCCTAGTTCACATTGTTCTCTCCTCTGCCTGATCTCTCACAAGATATTAGACTGAATATATTATATCGATTTGCTCATCGACACAATGTTTTTCTTCAGGCATGTCATAACTGTCAATACCTGGAGGAGTGTCAAATTCTTATTCTGTGACCACCAAGTTGATCAGCACAGAACATGATTCTTCAAAGAACACTAATTGAACCAAAAACTTCAAACGGCCGTTACACCTATCCAACATTGTTGCCTCCGCCTTCAGTTTTCTCAAGGCAGTATTGTTCTGGCACAAATTGTGACACTGTGACACTGAGCCTTACTCTGTGTGTCTCCAGAGTGAGGTGAGGTGTGCTTGAAAAAACATGGACTTTGAAGTCAGGTGCGTTGTGTCCGTGTATCAATATGTGGGTTTAACAAGTACGCCCCTCTACGATGCAGCATCCTCATTTGTAAAAGAAGGATAATAATGCCCACTTTTCAAGATTGTCATGATGAATAAATTGAGGAGCATATATAAAGCGCCTTTACATATAGAGTATGTCTATTAAATGAATGCTCAGTGTGAGGGTTTATCTCTTACATTGCAACCTTGGGAATAGACAACAAATAACTGTTGTACATTTCTTAAGAATTCAAATGAATAACAAATTTTAGACCAATAATTGTATTCAGTGACTCAGTAACTCTCTACTACCTTAAGAGAATTGATGTTCCCCTTAGCTGTCTGCTTGCCACAAGGAGAGTTTCCACATATGGAGTCTGAGTGGGAAGTTCACAGTGAACTGGTTACTGTTGGCCCCCATCCACTGGGCTCACCTTGTTTTATCTGGGAAAAATAAGTAGCCCATAGAAACAGGTGAATTGTTAGAAGAGGGGCAGGAAACATATTATTCTTTTCTTAGTCCAACTTGCCTTCTTAACTACTTCACCACCACCACTATCACCAGTGCCTAGCATAGTGCCACAAAACCACCATTCCACAGTGGTGTGATAAATAGTTATTCTTTCAGTGTGTTTGGAGGCCAACCCCAGATCAGGGTCCTCATTGTAGTGCAGGACAGTTGGGGCACTTTACTCTGAGACTGGACCAGGTACTGCCAAGGCTTCCTGTGAACTTGCTGCAAAGTTGCATGTTTGAGGAAAATCATTTCTGCTATGACTATTATCTCTGTAATCCTCCATCTCCCAAAAAAACCAAAAAAATCTCCCTTCCCTGTGCCTTGAGTGACTCTCCTCTTACTGCTAGACTCTTGGTTCACCCCCATCCCACTCCTCAAAGAGGTTGCCTCCCTTCTCCACACTTTCCATCTCCATCATGGACAAACCTCAGTATATCCACAACCTTTCTGCAGACGGCTTTATCTAAATATTCTTAACTGAAACTTAACTAAAATGCACCCCACCATCCTCTTAAGTGAGGTTTATTTATTCTCCCGCCTTTCTCAAACCAAAAGAGAGGGCTGGCATCCTTCTGGTTATCCACTATGATCCCCAAACCAGGGCTTTACCACCATCTTGTAATAGTTTATCCTCCACTGAGCCCCGAGCTATCAATATTTAGCACTACTTCCCCCTCCCCCTCACTCCTACCGTCTGTTTTCTTCCCTTCATTTATTAAGACTTTAATAAAGGCAACCACCTTCTTCTCTCTGTCTCCCATTATTTAGTGAAAGATTTGTTTCAAATATTTTTAGTTACATAAACTTTCATCTGTCAGTCCCCTCCCCTGACTAGATTAATTCATTTGTTAACCAATTTATTAATTAGTTCATTTGTTCATTCAGTCATTCATTTAAATGTTTAGTAAGCAGCCAGAATGGCCCAGGTACCTATAAAAAGTGGGTATCGCTGGATACGAAAAGGAACGAGACCATCAAGTACCCTGCTCTCCTTGAGCATATAGTGGAGAGGACATAGAAAATGGGTGATGGGGGGAATTCTAAAGATTATGCAGAGAATGCAAATGGTATGATAAGTGAGAGAGTGTCCTGAGAAAGACTCTAGGAGGTGATGACATTTAATGTGACTGACAAACAGTCTTGGGTGCAAAGGAGCTTGGTTGGAAAGGTCAGAGTGATGGGAGCTTTGAGGGAGAGAAGCAAGGTGGCACTCACGAGGACAAAGCTGCTGGTGTTAAGTCAGGTTTAGCTGCTTCATAGACCGGAATATGTAGTTTGTAATTCTGCCCCTGCAACTCACTACAGGTGGAGCTGCATCCTGGCATATTGTCCTGTCAGCTTGTGTCTCCGGTCATTTTCTGGGTTGCTATTTCTATGCTCTCCCAATCACAGATGTCCCAGATAGTGATGATCATTCTGTACTTAGTCCAGGTTTCTATTACTGTTCAGAGTCCAGGTTCTGCCTGCCAGCCTGAATGTTCTGCAGCACCTGCCATTGAGTCTCATACCTTGCCGTCCACCACCTGCCCCCCCGCCCCCGTCTCTGGATCCATGGCCAGTTCTAGCTCTGGGTCTATTGAAGATTGTCCAGCCCTCCACACCCAGCTCTGTTCTGAGAGGACACTGCTCAGAAGTTCAGCCCTTCATGGAAATAGACTAACATACTAATGCTGTGGAGAGGTTTCAGGACTTTTATCTGAGAGCAGGCTAAATAATATTTAAAATACCTTTACAGGCCGGGCGCGGTGGCTCACGCCTGTAATCCTAGCACTCTGGGAGGCCGAGGCGGGCGGATTGTTTGAGCTCAGGAGTTCGTGACCAGCCTGAGCAAGAGCGAGACCCCGTCTCTACCAAAAATAGAAAGAAATTAATCGGACAGCTAAAAATCTATATAGAAAAAATTAGCCAGGCATGGTGGCACATGCCTGTAGTCCCAGCTACTCGGGAGGCTGAGGCAGGAGGATCACTTGAGCCCAGGAGTTTGAGGTTGCTGTGAGCTAGGCTGACGCCACGGCACTCACTCTAGCCCTGGCAACAGAGTGAGACTCTGTCTCAAAAAAAAAAACAACATACCTTTACATATTTGAAAATCTGTGATTCTAACACCAATGTGCTTCAGCTGTTCAGAAATGAGTGGGAGGGTCTCATGTTAATCACTCTGGAAAGCCAACAGTTAGGGATTTTGTTTGGTTTTCTTTAACTGCAGCACTTTCTTTCTCAGCACTGTCATTACCAGTGTCAAGAATGGGTTTCAGAAACCACAAAACATTTCTTGGAAAAGAAGACTCTTGAAAGGAAATGCACATTCATGCTGTGAATCTGAAAGTGCTTCGCAATTGTTTTCAGGTAGGCTAGTTCTCAAACATTATTCTCTGTAGCTCTCATGAGAACATAGACTCTGCTTGGAATATGACTGCTAGATTCTAACAAAGCATCAATCCTGACCTCAAGACCCACCAAAAAGAGTAAAATCAAATTGAGATTCAAATATCTTAAGTATCTACCATGTGCAAGACACAATGTCAGATACCAGAATTAACAAGTTAATTTAGAAAGTCTGACACTGCCAATCTTAAAGAGAATATCTTTCTGAATGTTAAAATTTGTGGATATATTGTTTATGTTAGGTAATATATTTAAAAATCTGGAACATGTTATTATCTTAAGATTATTTGAATGTTTACGAAAGTTCTTCCTATGGAATTATAAAGCAAGAGGGAAAGATCAGACCCTTTCCTTGGCACACGAGTGTCATTTGTTAAATGGCAACCCTATGACATTTCAAATAACCTTTTTATAGATATTTTTTCCCTTTCTTTGCATGAAATTCCTAAACCTATCACAAAACTTTAAGCATTCACTGATACACGCTACATTTTTTTTCTTGCAGCAGATGATTATTTTAACTCGGAGAACCCAGATGTGGCTAGTCTGTTGTTGTTGTCGTTGTCATCATTGTTGTTGTTGCCATCGTCATCCACATCATCTTCATACTCGAAGGCTATTAAAGTCCCTAGCTTTCCTTGTGAGGTTTTAAAAACCTGTTTCTATTGGCAATTTTGGTAAAATAAATTGTTTTTCCATTGTCTTAGTCCATTCAGGCTGCTATAACAAAATACCTTAGACTAGGTAATTTATAAACAGAAATTTATTTCTCATAGTTCCAGAGGCTGGGAAGTCCAAGATCAAGACACTAGCAGATTTGGTGTCTGGTAAGGGCTTGATCCTCATAGATGTCACCTTCTTTGTGTCCTTACATGGTGGAAGAGGCAAGGCAGCTCCCTTCAATCTCTTTTATAAGAGCATTAATCCCATTCATGACAGCAGAGCCCTCATGACTTAATCACTTCTTAAAAGGCCCCACCTCTTAATATTACCACATTGGATGTTAGGTTCCAACATATGAATTTGGGGAGGACACCAACATTCCGACCATAACACCCACCAAATCAAGTTGTCATTTCAAAGGTGATTTTAATGTGTGCTCAAGCTTCATTGTCAGTGGCCACCTGTACTTTGTTTCATCACAAGCCCTGTTCCCCTGAACTCAAATTTGCTTTACTAATGTATGATCTGTGACCAAAGATTTGGATTTCCAAAGAAAATAGTAATAGATAACAAGTAAGATTAAAAAATAAATATAAATAAAATAAAAATAACCTAATAAAATAAAATTGGGGGTTCTATAAATTATAGATAATACTATTACAAAATCTCAAAAAATTAAATTATGGAAACATAATGTAAACATAAACTGTCATGGAAAATCTTCC